TTTTTTCATTGATTGTTAGAGAAATCATGTTTGAACTACTTGCTTGATCATTACTATTGATTTGTAATGCTGGAATAGTACTATTGTTGAATTGTGTTGATTCTTCTTCACTCTGAAAATTTTCAACAGAGACTGAAAGACGTTGATACAACTCCGATGTGGTTATTGTACTTTCTTCAGTCGTTACTCGATTTTCCAATTTCATTCTCTTTGTCTGTTCTTCCATCTCCTTTCTCTTTGTCTTCTCTTTTTCTCTTTCCGTCAAATACGTCAAATATTTTAAGTACGCCCCCAATTGTTCGGAATTTAATTGGGCAAAAGAGACGCTGGGACCAAATCGTCAGACATTTTTAATTTTTTTTAAAAAAAACAGGGGTGTCCAACTCTTCAGTAAAAATGACCAAGATGCGAGACAAGATTCTTCGCGAGCGCACTTTTATTTTTTACTCAGTTTACAACACCGACCAATTTTCAATACTTGTTTCAGAGTTGAACTGTTCGACAATTACGCAAGCTGAAACCAAGATTTTCATACAGTAGATGTTTCATTCCGTCTAGTTTCATATTCTTTAGTTTGGAATTGTGAGACCTAATATACAATAAATATCGGCCGTTAAAAAAAGGTGACAATGACTTTAGTTGAATTAAACATAAAGCCCGTGTAAAGTGCAAACAACCAACAAGAAATTCTAGAATAACAGGCCAATATACACTCAAGGATAATCTATTTGTTCTGCACTTTTGATGGGCTTGGTGTTAATTTCAAACTCTTCCAACTAATTGTTTTTGCTTTCATTCAACAGAAATTTTTTCGAAAAGAAAAATGAAACGAAGACGTTGCTGCCTTTGCTCCAAGAACGCTTTGCGAACCGTGCCAACAAATATCACCATACTCGGAACAGAAAAGTCCAATGCAACACCTTTGCTATGCAATACACATTACAACAATATCAATAATTTTAAAAACACCCACCACATCAGCAACCCTGTTACCATTGAAATTCAAAAACAACCAAAAGGAGTGAAAGATATCATTTCAATCGTTACCGATAAATTCGGTCAATGCAAACATTCCGACAACAAGTGCTGTAGTAATTGCAAAGAAGGTAATACGCGATGTAAAGGCATCTCTTTCGAAAAAGTGAGCCATTTATTAACAGTATCGGGAATCATATCACACAATGGCCACAGCTTCGGAAGTGTGAATTTCAATCATCATGGCGAATTTTGTTTTTTAGTGTAGACTGCAATAATTGCAATCTCAACAAATATGGAGTTTGTGAAAAATGTTATGAATGCTATGAAACAAAATTACGCCATTATCAGCGAACAATTAATTGAAAACCAAAATACCAAAACAGCTCACCTCGTTGCAAGAACACAAGAATACAAAAATGTCATCAAATCATTGAAGGCAAAAATCTCTCGACGAGATACTACAATTAAGAATTTCGAATTAATTGAAGAAAAAGATCAAAAACATTATTTGGTAGAACTTCTCTCGATTGCGCTAGAAGAAGGAAAGTTACATGAAACCCAGTTCTTTTATCAATTATTAGAAAATACTTTGCAAAATTTGGTTTCGTCGAAAAATGTTAACGGTTTTCGATACAAAGAGTGTATCATTCATTGGTGTTTATTACTTCGATTTTATGGTGGTTCTCGTTTGTGGAATATTTTGAAAGGAAATTCTCCCGGTGAAACTATAACATCTGAAAACGCATTAGATAAGCTTAATCTATTACTTCCATCTATCTCAACAATTAAGAGCTATCTTCCAGACTTGTCTTTTGGTAACCTTGTCGACAGTGATTTGAAAGATATTGTTAAAGCCATGGCATTGAATAATATTAGTAATAAGATCATAATTTCATATGATGAAATAGAGATTAGAGGAGGATTATGTGTGATGAAAAGTACTGGAAAAGTAATTGGATTCACAAATTGCAATGAAAAGTCGTTTGAAGATATATATAACGCAAAAAGAGAAATTACACCAGACGATATTGCTAGTCATGTGTGCCAGTTTTTTGCAACAACTATTGACGGTGAGATGTCTTTTCCTATTTGTTTTGGTGGTCACGAATCAAACCATTATGAATTTATTACAAAGAAAATGACAGAAATTAGAGATCAATTCAAACGAACTTCTTATGGAGATTATGTTTTAGAAGTGGTTAGAGGTTGTAGTGATGGATTAGCTGGTAATTATCAATATGCAACCTCTCATACTAATGAAAATTATGTTCACCTTTTTGATTGGTCTCATTTGCTCAAACGGTTGAGAAATTGTTTATTGAAAGGGGATGATTTGATTATTGAAAAAGAGAGTTTTTCTATGAATACATTATTGAAGGTTAGAAATGAACCCCAATTGCGAGACTGGGTATCGGAAAATATAATTTACCCAGTCGACATTATGAAAATGGAACCTGTTTTTGCATTGATAGATTCTAATGTTATTAGTGGAATTGAACAAAGCAAGCAAATAGGATGTTGTGCATTAGCAAAATATTTAACGTTAATGCAACAAATACATCAAATTTTTGACGATGAACGATGTTCAAACTGGAATGAGAAAAAACAATTAATTGAATCTGTACTGACAACACTTAAGGAATGGAAAGATGCAAATTCTAACATCATTAGTGACGAATTGTATTCTCATATTGTGATGACTATGACTTCACTTCGTTCTCTTTTTGAAAAATATGGAAACCATACTCAAATTAAGGCTTGTGGAATTTCGACATTAATTGTTGAACTTTTTTTTCCTTAATTCGAGGAAAAATACGATACCCTAATTTTCGAGATTATTGTGGGATCTATCGAGCCGTATGGATTGCTTTGAAGACGAAATTGGCAAAAATTCTCCAATTAATGTCAATCAACAATCAACCACAAAGTGTTATGGAAATTGTAACGTAAGCTTAGACTATTCTGAATTACATCGAAAACACTATGTAAAGAAACACATTCTTCAAGAAGACGATGAGGACACTTTGTTAGAGAAAGATCAAACTATTTCTGAAGAGATGTATGAATATGTGCTCGATGTCACTCAAGATTTTCTTCCACAGAAAAATGTAATGCTGATACGAGAGTATTTATGTAAACAAGCACCAGTCGCGGATGATGGAACTATTATGAACAATATTTTTCTCAGCTTCCCTGAATGTAATCAAATAATGGTCCGACAACGATCATTCATTAAGCACTTACAATGTCACAATTATTCACCTCAGCAATGCAAAGATACACTGTACAACACAATTATTACTTCACTCAAATCTCGCCAATTTGGCCAACATGTTGAGGGTATTGTTGAGGAAATAGCAACCAAATTGGTAACCAATACCTTTAAGCAAATTCGAATTCGAACAGAACCTGAATTACCAAAAGAATCAGTTATTACATTTAATTCAGAAAAAGGATTATTTGTTCCATCTAACGAGAAGCAATCACAAGCAGAAAATATTTCAACATCAAATATCGCCACCATCGACTCTATTTCAGAAGATTCAACTCAAATGTCAGAAACTTCACCTCAAAACAAATATGTATTTTTTGATTTTGAAACGACTGGATTATGGAAGAATGATGATCCACCAAAAATTACGGAATATTGTTTTGTGGACGTTTTGACTGGAGCTGTTTTGTATGGCTTAGTTAATCCTGGAAAAGTGATTTCTAACCAAGCACAATCAATTACAGGACTTAACTTGAATAGTTTAAGATCAAAATTGCCTATTGAAGGGCATGTGAATGATATTATCCAATTTTTAAACAATAACTCTCAAGGAAAAACTTACTTAATAGCTCATAATGGAGACCGTTTGGATTTTAAAGTTTTTGCCAAAGAATTTTTCGGAAAGTTTTCTGAATTTAATCATGACAATATTGTCTTTGTTGATTCTCTCCGATTAATGAAATCAGAATCGACTTTACACAATTGTCTTCCTCGGAAAATGACAAAGAAAGGGAAATCTAAACCAGTTTTTGCTGAGGATGTATTAATTGAACACTTTAATTTAGGAAATGTCAACAATTCACATTGTGCATTTTATGATGTTATTGGATTGCTTAATATTTTGATCAAGTTTTATGGTAATCTCGACGATGCATTGAAAGCTATCGAGTGCTTCAATACCAACCAACTTAAAAGGAAAAAAGAGAAAATTAATGACAATAATGATGATGAACACAAAGCAAAGAAGAAAGTTGGATGTAGATGTAAAAAAGGAAATAGTTTGAATTGTAATTGTGCCAAGCTTGGAAGAATATGTGATGCAACTTGTAGGTGCAATTCAGAAATTTGCAAACGGAGACAGTGCCAAGTTTGTTCCAACTACACGGAACTAATATTGTGTTCCTGTTGTTCTGATATTGTTTGTGAGCGATGTTCTTACAATGGAGAATGTCAACGATGTTCGATATTCATAGTTTATCATTGCAAATGTTGTCACAGACTAACCAATGCCGTTTCTAAATGCCTTCAATGTCAAAATTCAACATGTTGCAAATGTTACTATGACGGCCTTTGTAAGATCTGCCATCCAAACATGCCAACATTGCTGTGCAATTCATGCCACAAGCCTTGTTTATCACTAACTCCATGCAAGGATTGTGGCTTGAAAGTATGTAATGCCTGTTTGAGAGAGAGATGGTGTCGATCATGTGATTGTGATGAGGGGGAATGGTTGTCTTCAACTCAGTCACAATTCCAGTCCTCCATGGACGTGACAAATTTTTAAGAAGTAGCTACCATGGCTCTTGTAATGCGAATTCAACATATTGACGCACCAATAGTGATGTGGTGTTTCCTTTATGTGTCAGAAACAACCAATTGCATTGGCAGGTTTTGATGGATTGAAACCATCATAAAATCATCCTATGATCGTTGTGTTATTAAAATTCCCAGCGAAAAGTTTTCTCGTAGCTTGAGGTGTTCACGAAAAAATACGCTCGAGTTGTCCACCCGTGAAAAAATTGAACACATCACAACGATTATCATTATTCTTTCCTCCTTGAACAGAGCTAATGATAGATCCAACTAGATCTTCGAGCATAAAAGTACTCATACACCATAGAGGTCCAAGATAGAAAATGGAGCTGTTCAACATGAACAATGATATAATGATGAGCTTAAGTATTAGACTTAAAGAGGAAAATGAATGACTGTATGTGAAGCCAGTGTTAAAATAATAATGTCAAAGTCCATCTCGATGGTTTGTAATATTTCAAAAATTTCCTTTTTCATACTGTACAAAATTTCAAGACTTCTCACCACTGGATGCATGATGATGTGTATAAAAGTGGAAAGTCTATTGAGAATATTATAATGCTTGTCTGATATTTCATCCTTAAAAACCTCAATACAATAAGCAAATATCATGTAGTATTCGATTGCTTTGAAATAACTCAATTCATCCAATCCACGGACTCTTCGGTGATAGAATGAAGGTGTTTTGATTTCATATAGTTTGTCTATCGTTCCTTTAGTAGTGGGAAAATTCTCAAGAAACTCAACTTACTATTAATAGCGTCAATGTTGTACTTATTTTTCAAATAGTTCAGCAATTTGGCACAGAGATCTTCAAGTAAATTATGTAACAAATCACAAGCAATCTGTGTGGTCCATGTAAAGTATGGTATTCTTACCAAGATTGACAACCCTTTAACACCATCAAATTGCTAAATCTCTCCCTTAATCATTAATTTGTAATTTTCAACAATTTCAGACCAAACACATTCCTGTTCATTTCCACCCGAGCTATAAATGGTTCGATCTTAAATCTTTCTACCATTCTTTTTACACCATCGACAACTTGAAGTTCCAGCAAGGTTTGTCATGCATAATAAATCATAACATTGGAAGGCAACTTACAGGTGTCTGGAAAGAGATCATTTAAGATTCTGAAAATTTCGTTCATCATTACTTTGGTAGCCTTAAATTTGACATACAGCTGTAGCATGTCGAATATTAATTCTCCCAAAGTCTTACTGGAATGAGTGGAAATCGGATTACGTGAGTTGGGAATTTGATTCATAATCATAACGAGTGCTTGTTTTTGAAACACCTCAAAAAAGTCCTTTCAGTCCTTTGTTTAGGACTCTCTTCATACTCGTTAGAGAATTCTTGAATAGGGGATTGATCCTCTTCTAACTTTCTCTTCTTGTTATTCTCACCTTGAAGGCTAGAGTTTACTTGGTTTGGCTGGGACATATTAGACACTACTACACTGTGTTGCTGTTGAGGTAATTTTTTGAGCGATGATTCCCTCTAAAAATTACAAATTAGTGTTGTAACAGAGTTACAATCTTAGACACATTCGTGTCACGATAAAGTTTTCTAAGTATAGGGGGCGGAGTTGATAATACTTTTTGAGTGACAGTTGGAGTTTCCAAACTCTGAAGATCTATCATTGTTCAAAGGAATGTCTGGTATTTTTTATACGTTTGTTAAGATAGCATATCGTTCCGTGGTAAACTCTTTGACCTTCTGTTAGAAGTATAGGTGCATCTAACCGTGTTTCATCCAAAGGTTATAACATCACCAATCAAGAAACGTCATTTCTCTTAAGAAGTCTTCATAAGCAAAGCTTTTCTCACAAAAAGAAGAACGATTTTTGGCGGGCTTTATTTTAATATCTGATCAAAAAAACTTATAAGCCATCATGCTCACTCTTTAATCTTTCCTTCTGTAATGACTTCTCCTCGTAATAGGATAGAATCGATAGTAAGAGAGTAATATCAAAAGAAGCGAGTTGTTAAATTGAATGGCTACGGCCATATCACGATGAAAGCACCTCATCCCGTCCGATTTGAGAAGTTAAGCATCGTCGAGCTGCATCAGTACTGAGGTTGGAGACAACTTGGGAACCTGCAGTGCTGTAGCCTTTTTTTGCCAAACAAAGAAAAAAAAAAAAAGAAAAAATAAACTCTTGAGTTTATTACGTTTTATTGATATTCGTACATTATAAATTTAGAGTAAACGATATTTACTTTTTCATCTTTCTTGATTTTGTAATTTTCGAAGAGGAAGACATGGACCTCTTTTCCAAAGTATTCTTTGAGGATCGCTTCACAGTGACTTGCATTCCCGTTAAATTTGAGACATGATAATCCAAATTTTTTCTTCTTCTGGTTCCACTCACTACATTACATGGATCAATATCAAAATTAGGTAATCGTTTGGTAATATCAATAGGTTGAGATCGAACCCATTCGGTTTTTGTTGGAATTTTATCAGTGTTGTTGGATGGAGAAGAGGAATTGTCGTTCGATGATGTTCTAGAGACCATGATGTTGTTGTTGGTTTAAAAGTATATTGCTGTTACTTTAGTTGTTTTGTTTTTTGTTGATGATTTTCGGAACAACAACTCGATGACACTTTTTATCGAGCTCGCTGTCATCCATTTTTTTGTGGAATACTGAAACATCTGAAAATTCTCTAAAAAACTGGAAAGACATTCAAAAATAAATTCATAAGATGAAGAAAATAAATGATTCCAACAACAACAAAGAAAAACAAACACTAACAACTGCATTCAATTCAGCAAAGCAAATAATCAAAATGGTCTGCACAAGAAGCAACAAGGGATACAACAATTATTCTTCCGAAATTTCCATGGATAATATTGTCGGAGGAACAAGACAACGAAAACAATTCAATTACCGAGTGATGAATTAATATGGTGAGGAAGTCATGAACAATCAGTACTTCTCCTCACGACCCTCCCATAATACTTTGGAAATGAGAAATAGGAATTTCCGAAAGTAGAGTTCTCATCTCTCCAAACATAACTATTATCAACCACTATGTAAGAATGTTTAAATATTTAAATATATTGAAGACACATAGATTTGACCCCTTATCTGCCAAATGTATCCACATGCTTCACAAATTCAAATAAATTTACCCTCCATAACCTAGGTTTAACCAAGTCTCATTCTTGAAGTTGTCAATTTGAAAGGGAGAAATTGTTGGCATTTACAGTAAGACACTTGCTTTCTTTGAGGATGATCAGACATCTCTCAGAAATGCACACCTTTCATCAAGTGAATGACAATTTCATTGGGAAGGCAACTTTCATTTATGGTTTGGGTCATCATCCATCACTATCAAGTTTACAATACATCAAAAATATCATTGGTTTGTTGAAGGTCCAGCAACACGTCACACCAAATCTTTAAATTTTTTCAATAATTATTAACAGCATTCTTTCACACAAACAAAAAACTCAACAACAACTTCCTCTCCAACAAGAACAACAAAATGTGTGACGACGTTCAAGCACTCGTAGTTGATAACGGATCTGGTATGTGTAAGGCTGGTTTCGCTGGTGATGATGCACCAAGAGCTGTCTTCCCTTCCATCATTGGTAGACCAAAGCAAAAGTCCATCATGGTTGGTATGGGTAACAAGGATGCCTATGTTGGTGATGAAGCTCAATCCAAGAGAGGTATTTTGACTTTGAAGTATCCAATTGAACACGGTATTGTCACCAATTGGGATGATATGGAAAAGATCTGGCATCACACCTTCTACAATGAATTGAGAGTTGCTCCAGAGGAACATCCAGTCTTGTTGACTGAAGCTCCATTGAATCCAAAGGCTAACAGAGAAAAGATGACTCAAATCATGTTTGAAACCTTCTCTGTTCCAGCCATGTATGTTGCCATTCAAGCTGTCTTGTCTTTGTATGCTTCTGGTCGTACCACTGGTATTGTTTTGGACTCTGGTGATGGTGTCTCTCACACTGTTCCAATTTATGAAGGTTATGCTTTGCCTCATGCCATTTTGAGATTGGATTTGGCTGGTAGAGATTTGACTGATTACTTGATGAAGATTCTCATGGAACGTGGTTACTCATTCAATACCACTGCTGAGAGAGAAATTGTCAGAGATATCAAGGAAAAGCTCTGTTATATTGCTTTGGACTTTGAACAAGAAATGAAGATTGCTGCTGAATCATCCTCCGTTGAAAAGTCTTATGAATTGCCAGACGGTAACGTGATTACTGTTGGAAATGAAAGATTCAGATGTCCAGAAGTTTTGTTCCAACCAAACTTCATTGGTATGGAAGCTGCTGGTGTCCATGAAACTACTTTCAACTCGATTGGAAAGTGTGATATTGATATCAGAAAGGATTTGTATGGTAACGTTGTCTTGTCTGGTGGTACTACCATGTTTGAAGGTATTGCTGAGAGAATGACCAAGGAATTGACCAACATGGCTCCTGCTTCCATGAAGATTAAGGTTGTGGCTCCACCAGAAAGAAAGTACTCGGTCTGGATTGGAGGTTCCATCTTGGCTTCATTGTCCACCTTCCAACAAATGTGGATCACCAAGGAAGAATATGAGGATGCCGGTCCAGGTATTGTCCACAGAAAGTGCTTCTAAATTGACCTTGGATGCACATTATCAAATTCCAATGTAATAAAACATAAAAATCTATGTAAAATCATGCATGAGTTGTGTCTTTGTAAAATTGATTTGTAGTCTCCTATTATGTCAATTTTGTGTTTGGTTTATGGTTATCAAAATCACACTTCTTTTTTAACTCTGACTGTGAAAATGATCTTTCAAGAGCATTCTTATCGTAAGTGAAGCAACACTTCACAAAAGCTAAGTGAACAAGAAGAACGCAAGTGAATTGAGGAAAGAACATGTTGTTTCAGTCTTGTACGTGGTGCTTCTTGTCGAGCATTCTTAGTGGTGATGTTGTTCATCATCACAAGACGATCGTTCTGAGAGTGTTCGCTCATCAGACATCATCAACTTGAAAAAAATATTAAAATCTTCCATCATCATGGTACGTTTCTCGAGGAAGAGAGTCATCAAGGCTAATCTTCAATGATGAATTGTTGTTAATATTGTTCTGATTGAAATTTAATAACAATTCAAAATACTTCTTTCGGATGGATAATTTAAATTGTGGATGATTGATTTGGAATTGATGGAAATTGATGATGATTTTCTTTTTCATCCTCTCGATGCTCTATCGTGATGATCAACGATAATAATATAACAGAGTACCACTGCCCAACCATACTATGATTGTATCCGTAAAACTCTCGAGGCTGCCTTGTGTCTTGAGAACTTCCCATCCCAATTGATCGAAAGACACAACAAGCCAGAAGTTGAAGTTGGGTATGTTCTATAGGATTTTAGTATTGCTTTGTTGTTACTCATCACGTTGTTTATTTTGACCCGAACTCACCTCTTTTCACACAATCTCATCCTCACGAATCATTCATCGCCTTCTTTAATTGATGACATCTCAGTATGAGCAAGGAGTTGTTGCTCAACCCAGTGGTTATCAGCAGAGACAAGTTCGACAGATGTATGATTGAAGGATCTATCAACTCGGTCAGAATCAGTCTTGCTTTTAAGAAGAACGACCAAGTTGAGGAGATTATCTACAAACGTTTTATGCACTTTTTGATGCAACGTGCTGAACAATTTTTGGTTTTGAGAAGAAAGCCAGTTGAGGGTTACGACATTAGTTTCCTTATTACCAATTTCCACACTGAGGACATGTTTAAGCACAAGTTGATTGATTTCGTTATTGGATTTATGCAGGATATTAACAAGGATATCAACGATATCAAGTTGCAGTTCAACGCTCGTTCTCGTGTTGTTGCCAAGAAATACCTTGGTGCTTTTTAATTTATTGTAACCATTTTGTAATTACATCCATTATTGTTTTGAAACTCAAAATAATATAACTATTTATTCATCAATAGAGTTACTGTTTGTGGAAAACACACTTGGATTCTTTGTTAACAACAACAATGAAGCCATTTCATCAGCCTCAATCTTAAGTGGTGTTAAATTTCTTCCAAAACAACATCCCTCACAAGAGAAATGCTTTTGCAGCATGTACAACACATTGAATAGGAAGGTCATCAAGAGCTGACGTCACTCAATGATAATTATCCTAAGGAAAATAGCTCTGATACATCCAACTGGGGAGAACATGACACGTAAGATTCAGTGTCACGTCTACGGCCAAGAATTTAATGATCATTGTGCTGATTTCTTTTCACCAGTCAATTAAAATCAAAACCACTGGTGATTCCAATTGATCAGCTGTGCTTGACCTAATCCGACCATGGAGTAAAAGGAGTGTGGTGCTGACCAAAGAAATTGAAGCCCTCCAAGGTCCTTCTTAACTCCTTTCACTATTACTACTTTTCTACATTGTGATAAACTCCATCCCAGTTACTTGGTCTATGAATAGAGAAGTATTGCGAACGTGTAAGCATAGTTGTTGCCGGTCCATCATTTGGTATCAATTTTAAACACTCTTCAAATTGCAAAGCAGCTTCGCTAAAGTTTCCCATAAAATAGTTTTTCAACGCGGTGTCGTAACAAGAACGCATTTGTAACATGGCCTCATTTGCAAGAGGTAAAGGTCTTTGATCTTTTGCAATTTCTGACGTGTCTTCATTCAGTATGGTCGCAATAGGGGGTAAATCTTTCTTCCGTCCAAGAAGCTCGTAGATCACACATCCAATTGATTTTCCTTTTACACTGATTTTGTCAAGTTTTCTAAACTCTAATTGTTCAGAAACATAAGGTCTCAAGTATGTATCTTCTGAAACAATAATTTGCGTATTATAAAATTTGTTGGTACCTTCTAATCGAGAAGCAAGATTTACGCTGTCACCTAATATTAAAAATCCATTTTAATTGTGAAAAAAACAAGCATTGAATGGATGAATATTACTTACCAATGATGGTGTAGTTGAGTCTCCATCTTGATCCAAAGTTTCCCTTTTGCATCACAGTAAAATAAATGCTTGTTAATAAGTGAATACTTACAACAATACAAGACCCACTGTGAATTCCAATTCGGCATCTCATTAAAGGTTTTCTCTTTAGCCCACTTCTTTCTCAACTCCTCCATCCGCATTTGACATCTCAAGGATGCCTTACAAGCTCTAATTCCTGAGAGCGTCGAATACTGAGGGGCTCCCCAGAAACCCATCACAGAATCTCCGATATATTTATCTAAGGTTCCTTTTTCTAAAATAATCTCTTCAGTGAGAACATGAAAATATTCTGATAGTTGCTTGATAAGAATCTGTGGTTCCAGCTCCTCACTTAAAGTTGTAAAATTTTCAATGTCAGAGAAGAATATTGTTAAATTGTTCACCAATTTTCCTCCTAAATTGATTTCATTTCCTTTTTGAAGCATTTCTCTAACAAGTTCACTTGGAACAAATTTTTTAAAAGACCTTAATGCCATCTTCATGTTTTCAAAAGCTGTCGATAGCTCCAAAACCTCCTTGATCGTTGAATGAAATGGCTTTCCCTTATTAATCTCCAGATTTGAAATTGCCTTGCTCTCACATGAAAAATATGTTAGTGGTTTCGATACAGCTCTAGAAAATAGAAAGCTGAAAAACAAGCTTGCAATGAGGCATAAAATAGATATACCGACATTTATGCCAGCCAACATGAAAACATTACTGGTAAAATCTGTTTGTGGAGCCACAACCGCCACTAGCCAGTGCTGAATGCAGAATTGTAATGTCGTCCGATATAAAAGGGTTCAGAACTTACCATATTAAGAGAAAGTGTTTTGTTTACAACTCCGTGGGACACAACATATTCTTCTCCTTGAAAAGTAAATGTTTGAACATGTGCATCTGAATATGAAGTGTCTTTGTATAAAGAATAGTCAGATATTTTGGCAGGCAAAATATTGATAACCACATTTTTCAACAAGGGATCAGCAATTTCTGATGCGTCGGCAATTCTATATTCGAATTCCATGGTTGGATCATATATGGCAATAGAAGAAGCATTTTTGAAGCCCACCACTCGTTTATGAATACCTTCCTCTCGATTGAACATTTCAATAATCGCAACAAACGACCTTGGTGAGACATAGAATGATCTTACAAAGTTAGCTAAATATTCAATATTAACGTTAATGCTTGTTACTCCTATGAATTGAGAGTCATATGGAGAATAAATATTAGATTGAAAGCAAGTGTATACTCTTTGTTCGATAGTTTCTCCTTGCCTAATCATGTGATTGTAAAGAAGCATTTGTATCTAGCTCAACAAATAAAATCTTACCATTGAACATCTAAAGGAACCAAGGCTTCGTCATAAATTTGAGAGAGAGAATAGAATTCGTAGTCTCTAGGGTCCCATTTTGAAGTCGGTTCTTCGAAAGCAACAGTTCTCCTTTTTCCAAACCGTGTGAAGTAGAATGTTGATTGTAAAGATGTTTCATTATCAGGTTGAATAATTTGAAATACTTCTTGTCTTGGTTCAAACATGGGCTCTGTTTCGTTTTCCAATGGCTCCATCTTTTGGTAACCAGTGTCGACATAAAGATAATCTCCAGTCGGTGGAGTAAAATCCACAAGGTAAATCCTTCCAATGTATTGTTTATGACTGACAGCTAGAACTTTCATCAAATTCTCAAAACCTTGAGGGCTATAAATATTACTATTGTCGTCATTAATATTAATGCCACTTTCGTTCATGAAATACATTTTAAAGATTGCATTCTGTCGGAGATTATTTAAGGGTTAGATTTAACACAAAGATCTCGGCTCAACAAAACATACCTTTTGTGCATACGTTGCTTCCATGCAAAGCCGTAAAAAATCGTCAACATAACTTTCTGCACTCCGATAACTCTGAGTTATTACCTGCATTTTGACGTCATTGGAGGCAAGAACTGAAAAACCTATCGAAAGTAAAACCAAAGTCAACACGGGAATGATTATCATTACCAACATGGTTGTTACAAGCAGGCATCTAAAGCTGCAATGCATACACAACGAGTTACTATTGCTAAAATCTTCGACATTCGAAGTAGATGAAGACACTATACTACCGCTGAACGTTCTGGACTTGGCCACTAAATCGTTCTCAATAGTAAAATCATCAATTAATTCATGAATCGTGTTTAAACTTGTCGTTGAACCTAATTCATTCATCATTTTTCGCGTTAAGGACCTGACAAGCCAACCTCGGGATTTTTCTTGGCTAGGCGCATTGAGATCCCGTATAGTTTTCGCTTTAGTAAATAGATATTTATCATGAATGTTGTGATTTTGATGAGGTTCCTCCTCCTCACCTGGCGTTGCTACCAACACCGTATCGTCATGATGATGATGATGAGGGTGTTGTTTGATTGCATAAGGGTACACTCTATTACTACTCAACGTTCCGCGTGGACCCGACAGTGAATGAGCCATTTTTCAACACGCGTTTGTCTCGGGTATTTCGTTATCCGTTGTTGATCGTTGTTGTTTTTAAAGCCTCAACAATAATCTGCCTCGTCGAAATTAAATTTACGGCGGTAGATGTTGCTCTACTTTTTTTGGTCTTCTTTTTGGACGGAACCGATCGTTTTTGTGTTTACTTGCAGTACAGCTTGGAGTTGGAGATAAATGCATCTCTTTCTAGAGATCATTCAATGAAGACATTGTATTGCCAAATGTGTTTCGTTGACACGACTATAAAGTAAATTGTAACATCAAGTGACCTCAAACAACGGGTATTCGAATGGCGCAACTCTATTTATCTCTGATTATGAAATTCATCATCAATATTGATGACAACCTCCTTGCTAGTGTCGCTATAGTTGCTGACATTGTTATATTTATTTAATCTCTTGACTATTAATGATGATTCATTCAACTTTTTAAAAGAAAATATGCAGTGCTGAAGGCCTGAGCCTTTCAAGATGTTGAAAGTTTTGTTTTTGGTGGATTGATTAATGGATAATTTGAATCTTTTGTGTGGAGAAGATTCGTTGCCATTTAGCGGACATTATATTGCCTTAACTTGAATTTGTGAATTGATGCGACACCAGTGTCGCTCATTTCATTTCTTGTGACAAATTGCCTCAGAAATAAATGTCATCCTTCAATAAAAAACAACAAACAACAACTAAACTCACTGAAACTCCCATCAAACTCTTAATATCTTTTCAAATGGTTTTCGAAATTGTTTATTTTGATAGTCCCGAAGAGCTGTAAGTTTTTTGAAAGATGAACATGTCATTTATTCTTTGATAGGACTTTTTGAAACTTATTGCAGAAGTAGGGAATATTCCATACAAATTCACAGGAATCAAGTATCAGGAATGGCCACAACACAAATCTTCCACTCGTTATGGACAATTGCCCTATCTCAAAGTCAATGATCACTTGACCTTGTATCAAACCATGGCCATTGCTCGTTTCTTAGCTCAGGAATGTGGTCTCTATCCGTCCGACAGAATAGAAGCCACCCAAACCGAAGAGTACATGCTTGCTTTGGACGATGTCTTTTCCAAATTTGTTAAAATTGAATTTCAAACACCTAAAGAAAAGAGAGAAGAAGAAATTCAATTGTTCAAGGAAGGGGATCCTTGAGGACCATCTTTGGAGCATTGAACAAAGTATTGGAAGCCAATGGAGGCTATTTAACTGGAAAGCTAAATTGGGCAGATTTATTCTTCTTTGAAGTGGAATTAATTATTGAAAAGAAACTCTCGATTGATGTTGAGAGTGTGGCACCAGAGTTGAAAAAATTGAGAGAACATGTGATGGCCAACGAAAAGGCAAAGACTTATTTGGAAAGTGAGAGAAACCTCAAGAGACACTCTTAAAAACTCCCATCTTTACATTGGCAGAAGTCTCTTAATCATCATTTTCAGTTAGTCTTCAAGTTGTTGTTCCATTTCAAAACTATTATTTTCTCCAAAGTAACACTCTCATGTTCCAAGTGCTTTTGTCATCATGCAGTTACAAAGTCATCTTCACACAGAACTCTGAGGCACAACAACTTGTTTATTTTTGTGTTGATTGCTGTTTCTTTTCCTTTTTCAGCTTTTTATCAAACAATTGTCTTAGCAATATCACATCTTGTACCTCTCTCTTAATATTTCCATATGGTGTTTGGAGAATTGCTTCATATTGTTCCTGTGTGAATGGCAATTGTCTGAGAGGAGTGTTTTGAATCGTGGCAAGAATTTGTTCAGATGGCACTTGCAATAAATTAAAGTAATCTCTAATAATTTCAAATCGTCGTTCGTTCACCAAATGAAAATTCGATAATTGTTGCTGCAGGCCAAATATATTTCTCATCATCTTTTCGAGACCTAGTGTTGTGAAATTGGGAGCCTTAAATATTTCACCTCCTAACATGGCATTCGATTCTTCATCGAGTTTCATTTCATTAAATTGTGCAATCGCAAATGGTAGACTTCCAATGAATAAATCTAGAATCATACGTTCGATAGATTCAAAAAGATATCTCAATTTAGATTTTGGCAAATAACAAGAAATATATCTTTCAATTCTAAATAAATCTTGATTGAATGCATTAATAAAATCTTCTGGTTCTTTTCTTTCATCTTCACATTCATAAGTTCCATATTTCAAAAGATTGTCCATTAAATTACAGTGAATAAAGTGATAACAATGTACACGAATATCTAATTTGAGAGCAAAAAGACATTTCAAAGCAAGCTCTCGATATTCCTTTTCATAATTCACCAAGAAGAGAGAATACTTTTTGATTTTTTCCAAAGCTGTCTCTTCATCGGAATCAGAATTAACAGCCTCTGCATCCGAGCTCAATACTCGCAAATGATGAGCTCGAGCTACTTTTCTGATATTCGAATCACTCACAGCATGAGGAATTGGGCTTAACAGTGCATCAGATCTACTCTTAAAGGATGGAGAGTTATGAGTGTTGGCAGAAGAACCACCTCGTCGAGGTCTAGGCATCACTGGAGTTGTTGACCCTGTTCCCTTTCCATTTTGACCATCTCCATTTGTGGATTGTTGTTGTCGCTGTTGTAATTGTTGTTTGAACATTAATTGCTCATTCTGAATCATTTCTTTTTGATATTTCTGAAGGAGATCAGCCAACCATTCGAGACTGTCATTGAGGTTAGCCAACAGAATGAGTTGTGAATTATTGTCAATGAATTTTGTTTTTGGAAGTGAATGAGGATAGTTAATTTGTAACTTTTCATCAACCAACACAAATAACTTTTGATAGAATTTTTCTGATTGTTTGGCTTCACCTGAAGAGTTTTGTCTTTGTCTCGAATAGAGTTTCTTAAAGGTAGGATCTGCCTTAAGTACTGGATAAACACTCTCATACTCTGTTGTGAGAGATTGTTGAATGAATTTACCATTCACAACGTTATTGAACTGAACTTTGCATGCTGCCAAATAGTTCTTTAACACCAAATCAATCACTTGGAACACCTCTACCTTATACATGGGTAAAGAAAGTGAGACTTTAAATAATTCTCTCAACCATGAAGACATGAATAGAACACTATTGAGGAGAGGTCTCTTTTCGGTTTGTGACGAATAGGTGTAAGTAGAAGTTGTTTGGTTGACTGCTTCTCGTGGAAGGAATGCTGAACTTTTCAGAAAATCTTGACTGTTCAAAGATTTCGATAGTTTTGCTTTGTAATCTTCTTCAATAAGAGGAATAAAATTGTTTCGAATGAAATTATCCATGAAAGTTCGTAATGTGGATCCTTCATTGGTTCCTTCTGAATGGTCGGTGTGTTCAACCTTGATGCAAGAGAGAATGTCTAGAACAAATCCCAATACAACTTTGTACATCCAAATAATGTTATAGGGAGAGAAAATGAAGTAAGAGCTCATGCTTTCACACAGAGTCTTGACTTTGGTTTCGTCATTGGACTTGTCAGAGTTCGAAAATAGTGCAAAATCCATATTTGCTGAAAATTTGAACATGATTTCACAATCAAAGTCATTCTTTTTCTTTGATTTTGATTTTAGGTCTGTGTTGACTATGATCTTGTCGTTTTGTTTTTCCATTTCACTGTTTCGAATTCCTAACAATTCTCTCAACACAGATCCAACTTCATCCTCAACCGTTTTCCAAACATGTTCCACAGAGAGGACACTTGGAGTATCTGGTGATGACAAGGTATCAACAATTAATGATTTAAAGGTTAATAAGGCATCCTTTTTCAGTCTTCCATTGTTCGTGTTTAGGCCAAGTTGAGTCTCCATAATGTTGATTAATACTTTCACTCGTTGTTTTTTGTTATCATCCATTTGTTGATCAATGAAATTGTATAAAAGGTCCTCCATGCACTTTTTGAGTAGTTGAGCTTGTTCAGAAGAATCATTTCTATTCTTATACATGTAATCATTAATGGAATCTCGAATTCTTGTAAGAACTTCTTTAGACATGACAATACTCATAGCTCCCAATTCTTTTTCATCGCCACAACTGTATGAAGATCCTTTTTGAGCATTCTTTTGTTCTAATATTTGCACAAGGAATTGATAATTCTTTAACACTTTTTTAAGTTTCACAAAAAGTCCTTCCATCATTTCTGCAATCAGTTTTCCTTGAAGAATTACTCGTCCTGTATTTGTTTTGTGTTGCTCTAAAGGATCTTCAAAGTTAGTGCTTGTTTGTGTACCCTGATTTTCCAAAGTAGATGCTCTTTTGTTTTGAATAATTAGCCACAACAAATGTCGGTCCGAACTTTTGAGAGAATTGGAAAATTCAGAAATGTGAGCTTCAATTAAATGTCTCAAATCAAAACGAAGACTTTGAACGAGTCTTGATTGAATTTCTGGAAGCTTATTCATCACATCCAATGCCTCTACTAAAAGAATCATATATTGTGAAGGGTTTTGCTTTTCATAATCGATTGAAAGATTATCCTGGAGTATTGGAGCTGTTTTTGAAGCAGGTGAAGAATAAGATGATACTTCCTGTGCTTCACTTTTGAGAGCAGCAAGTCGTTTTGAGGGAGTGTTCAAACGAGGTCCACCAAGTTTGGAAGAAACTGGAGATACTTCTCTTTTTAGTGAGGTTGCCTCAATATTCCAATCATCTTCGTCAATGTAGTCAAGAACTCTCTGATAGGCTTGAATGTGTAGCTGTGCACGCAATTCATCAGTAATGAGATCAGGTAATTTGTCATAATATTCAACAAATTGAGCACGGACTTCATGAAGCGCTTTGATTGATCTTAATCGATCACTGTGAGCAACTGTGGAGTATGTTTTCAAAATACGAACAGCATGAAGAAAATGTTTGCTTGACACAGATTTGTTAATATCTTCTGGTGCGCTTTTAACATTCTCGACTGCTGTCAAAATATCGAGAATCTATTGATAATACATTAGAAATCAACAATAATGAGTCATTGGACACAATTCAGCCATTTCATCAAAGCACAGTTGGAGTAATAAATCAATATTAATATGAAAAATAAAATGGTTAAATCACCAAATGTGACCCATGCGAAAATCAACCAACCTCTTTCTGTTGTAAATAACTCGAATACAATGAAATTAAATCTTGAGTTCGGAGTGACAATAGTTCTTTTGCTGTTTTCACTTTTTGCATCATTTGTCCAACTTGTGTTCGTCCTCTCTCCATTAATTCCAACATATCGGAAAAATTCCTGATACTCTTGTTAAATCCTTTATAATTCACACAAACAATTTGTTGAACGGCATCATCCAATCGCTGCTTATTTTCTTTTAAACGTCTCAAATCTTCTTGCGCTGTTCCGTTTTTGAGAGAACGAGCAATCACATCAATATAACTGAAATCGGAAACTCGATAATCAGGATCAGTTTCGTTTAAAATTTGTTCTAATGATTCGTTGAGATCCAGTGCTGAGTAATTGCTGTATTGTTGGTATCGAAGTTGTTTCTCAGCCAAATCTTCTTCGGTAACTTCCTCATGATCTTGATTGATGTCAAACATGAGATCCTCATCATAGGACATTGAGGAACGCTCGTCATCCTCCTCTTGTTGTGGGACATCAACAGTTTCTTGTTTGTCTTTCTTCCGAAGCTTTTTAAAGATGTTGAGTTTTTTCATTTTTTTTGATTGTTGACGCTGCCCGCATATGGCCGAGTGGTTTTTCTGGAACTGTGGCAGCCAACTGGTCCAGCGTTCGAATCCCAGGGGTTGCTGCTGTTATCGTGAGCAGTTTAAACACCTTTACTTCCGGGGTGCCTGCTAGGAAGTCACTACGTATCTTACGTTCGACTTGTAAATAATGTACATAAAACCATCGAACAACGTTTATCATCGAATAAACCCATCCCTGAATTTTTTTTGATTGTTGACGTGAGAAGCAATGCTTGACGCGAGAATATATACGAAACAACATAAGGATATTATTGTTGAGGTGGCTGATTATTGGCCATTTGTTCTTGCATTTGTTGCATTTCCTTCATCTTTTGTTGTTGTCTTTCAGTAATCTTCTTGGCCAAATCGTCATCCTTTTTTGCTAACTCATCCTTTCCCATTGCAATATGTAACAAAGAACGATAGTGATAAAAGAGTGGATTACCAGGATTGAGCTTGATAGCAATGGAGTAGTCTTTGAGAGCTGCTTCGTGGTTGAGCATTTTCATGTGATAGACATGAGCCCTGTTGAAATAAGCTGCAGCAATTTCACTTCTCAATTCTTGTGTGAGTTGAGCACCTTCTCTTGGCTTTGACAACTCAATGGCCTTTGTGAACGTTTCAATTCCTTTTTCATTTTCGTTCATAATTACATGAATACTTCCAATACTGCTTAATGCTTTCAATTGAGCTTGTGGAGGTAATTTAACGGTAGCCTCCTCGAACGCTTTGTAGGCCCTCTCTAGTTGTGGTGCTGTCTCAAATGTTGGAACATCGCTTGGAGGTTTGTCTTTATATTCAGAGACAAATGAGTTCAACACTACCATACCATAATCTTGAAGAACAATTCCCAAGTAGTCATCAGAGGTGAACCGATCTCTTCTAGCAAGAGCTTCCTCAAAATCCTTGGCAGCATCGTTGGGCTGACCCATATAATTATAAAGAAGTAAACCTCGTTGATGGTATGCAACTGGTTCATTTGGATCAATTTTGATTGCTTCATCAAAAGCCTTGACTGCATCGACTGCTTGTCCTCTATGCTTATTGAACAACCCAATAATCATTTGCTCTGCATACTTGTCGTTTTGGCAATCAAAACTGAAAACAACATCTTGGAAAACCTGTACATCACTTTGATTGTAAAATAAGGCTCTCTCAAGATCAATAACTGCATGATCGTATTGCTTCTTGCCAAAGTAAATTCCTGATCTTTTTGTCAAAGCATCGAACCTTGAAGGATACATGCTCAATAACGTGTTCAAATCAGATAGCGCTTTGTCATTGTCTCCTATTTTCAAATATGATACCGCTCTGCATAAATAGGCCTCTAAGTTCCCTGCCTCAAGCTCAAGAGCACGATTGCAGTCATTAATGGCCTCTTGAGGTTGATCAAGGAATAGCTGTGTTGATGCACGAACACTATAACATGATTAAAGTGGTGTGAAATTCAAAGTTATCAATATGTGACTTACAGAAATCCTGGAGCAAATGTTGGCATCAAGTCGACAACTCGATCTGCAGTCTTCAAAGCATTTTCTAGCTCGCCAATTTTGTGATAACAGAGGGCCTGTCTAGCAAGAAGAATAACCTTAAATTGTTGAGAGGAGGCTGTTTTAGAGAAATTTTCCATCTCTGAAATTACGTTTTGAAGGAAAGACTTGTATAGATTCTGAGTTTTCACTGTTGGAAGAGCAGAAATAACAATATCTTCAGCCAAAAGTCTAAATTTAAGAGGGACATGTATTGTACTATTACCAATTTGCTGTAAAAACTTACCTCAAGAAATTAGCTACCTCCTTATTTTCACTTGTCGAACCGTCAGCTTGTCCATACTTTTCAAAAGTACCAATAATAGCGTCTCCAAATGACTTGATATCAGCCTCATACTCTTTAATTTGATTTTGGTCTAATTCCGCAAAAATTTGAGAATTATTAATCAAAATGTTGAGAATTTCATTGTAAAGCGGCCTCCATTCGTCCAAAGTCTTTGCTCTATAGACAAGATGAGCCTGGAAAATTAAAGTCTGTAATAATTTGTCCAATTCATTGAAATTTTGCAAAGGAAGATTTTCGGAATGTCCTTGAATAAATTGGAAGATGTGTTGGCTGAGAGCTGATTCATCAAGTGTGTGTTGATGTTCGTTCGGACTCATTCTCACAAGATTGGTGCTGAAATGTGCTTTTTGAACCATTGATTCATTTCCGAATGTAAACATCTTTGCTTCTTCAGATTGTCTTGATGAGGCATATCGAGGATGAGTCATCATCTTTGAAGCACAGACCAACAACAAGGTCTTCTTTTGATTGGAAATATTTCTCAATACGAAATTGCTGCGAGCAAGCATTTTTTTGATTGAATCCAACGATGAATGGATGCATCAGCTTATACAAACTCATTCCTCGACAATATTTCCTTTGTGGATCGATTTTCACTATTGAATGGCTTCTGATGATGGCAAAAGAGATTAAAGCCCGAGCTCGAAGCCAAAATATCTCTCGATCTGAAAGGAGGAACCCCGCCAAAATCAACCGATAAAAAACAGTTTAAAAAAATTTGTTTTGCGTGTGCGTGGATGAGTCGTCTCTCAAGCTAATCATTATTTAATAATATCGAGTACGCGTAAGATCTGAATTAAGAGTTGGAAGTTATTACTTTATAAAACATGCTTTCACCAGGCAATAGCAATACGGATGTTCGGAAGTCGCCGACACTTCTTTCAGCACCTTCCAGTGCTAAACTTTCTGTCGGAAGTTCAGTAGGAAGAGCAAAGCCAGTTAGGATGGCATCCCGAATGTTAATCTCCCAAAAAACTACAACAAATTTACATAATGAGACGGTACAATCTATATCCTCGGACAAGACGTCTCAAAATCAAAGTGTTTCTACGAGCACAATGGCAGAGGAGACTAGAAAAATTATTGACATGCTTCGAAAAGAAATTGATACTCTCAAATACGAACTTACGAATTCTGAAACTGAAAAAGAAACCTACGTGTTTCAGATTGGTGAAATTAAAAAGAAAAATAGAAGAGATTTGGAGAGGTTAGAGCAAGAACTTCAAGAAAGAAAGGAAAAACAGCTTAGCATGGAAGAAAAATTGTCACGAGTGGAGCAAATCGAAGATGCAATTATTAAATTATATCTCGAGTTGAAAGATAGAAGCTATGAAGTTGTGGGAAATGTGGAGGACATCAAAGAAATCGAAATGAGAGAAAAAGAGGAGCTGAAGAAAGAAAATCCCTTAGTAATACTGGACCGATTGAAAGCAAATCTTCGAACATTACTAGTTTTTAAAGATGACTACGAAAACGAGCTTAAAGATCAGATACGACGAAGGAAAACTGAAGCGGAATATAAGGTAGAAGAATTGAAAATCAAAATTGAACAACTGGTGAGTTTTTAAAATTGGCCTATTCTCATCAAATTCTTGTTAAATTTATTGATACAATGACCTCTTCTACCAATGTTTTCAGGAAAAAGAAAAAGAGGAATATAAACAAGCAGCGATTCAGGCTATTGCGCTCAAAGATGAAGCTCAGCAGAAGCAAAATGAGCAGGCAGAAGCTTTTGCGGAAGAAATTAACGCTATCAAGAACGAAAACGCAATGCTTGCTAACATGATTGCGAAAAAGGAACTAGATATCGACAAGCTTCATGAAATGATTGATCGAAGAGATTCAATTTTGCGTCACAGAGAGGTGCAAATGATGAAAATAACACAGCTAGAAAGTAAAATTAAGAATGATAAAACGAAGCATCAATTCGATATTAACCGAGAGAAGTCTGAAAAGTACCAAGTTTTGAAAAAGTATGAAAATGATATTAACTTTTATCAAAAGCTAGAGAATGAGAAAAAGAAATGGAGAATGAGTTGAAACGAATGAAAGATGAGGTTCGATCTCTGAAAACCAATGCAAGTCGAGAAAAGGTCCAAGAATTAACAGAAGTCAATCAAAAGTTACAAGAAAGAGTTAACTCGCTTTCAGAAGAGTTGAAGAAATATCAAAGCGAATCAAGGACTTTAAAAATCCAAGTATCAAATTTGAGGAGATCCCAAGCTGAGATGAAGCAACAATATTTGGCAATTTTCAATGCAAACCTTGAAGAAAAGAAGAAAAGAAAGGTCCAAGAAGAAGCAAATATGAGAGAACAAATTGAAAAACATTTCCATGAAAATGCTGAAAGAAATCCACAATTAGCATCGTATTACAAGAAAAAACTGAAAGAAAAAGAACGTGAAGTTGAAGAATTAAACAAAAGGCTGAAGAGAATGATTCTTCACCAGAACAGAGAGTCACAAGCTGAAAAGAATTTCCTGCAAGAAAAAACTCAACTCATTGGAGAATTGACTCAATTAAGACGTCAGCTTCCAACAGTCATTCCAAACGATGACTTTTACAATCCATCTAGCCAAACTGCTCTTCAACAACGCAATTTGCAACTCGAAGAAAAACTTCGTGACTATGAAAATCTTCAAGTTCTTTCCAAATCCCAAACGGTAAGTTTTAGAGAGATCAAAAGCAATTTTTTAATGCATG